ATTTGCTACATCCAGCAGTTTAATAAACATGCCTAACAAACAACAAAAGGTATCTGCAATCTTAGGTTATCCACAGCTGGAGAGTCAGTGCCATCTCCAACACAAAGCGCTTTTGGGGGACTAGAGAGTACATGTGTACTTTTTCTCTTCAGTATTTCTTTCAAAGCTGCCACAGATATCTTATGCTTATCAATTCCAATAAAGTTAAAATATCAATTGTACTTAACCCAATCAAAGCACAAAATGTATTTCTTACTATTGTAACCTTTCAAGATACAGTCCTTATCAAAATGGCTTAAAAGTAATGTCTATAGTAATAAATACTATTCATCTACCTACAAATTTTATCGAGATTAGAATTCTTTCTAAAGTTAGTAAGAAATATGCCCGAACCCCCAAAATGCAATGCGTTTCCCGTGCATGCGGCCCCCACATGCACCCTGTTTTGGCTTCTGGGTTGGTGCAGGTTTTCCAGGCCCAAAACAGGGCATGGGGGCCTCACATGGTGCCCCTCTGCCCCATGTTGGCTTCCAGGTTGGTGCAGGAGACTTTCCAGGCCCAAAATGGGGCGCAGGGGCCTTTGCATGGTCCCCCGCACCCCGTTTTGGGCCTGGAAAACCTCTTGCACCAACCTGCATCCCCCATGTATGCGCCCCACCCTCCGCGCATGTGCACATGCATCCTCTGCATGCACCCCACCCCCTGCACATGCGCGGCAGAGACCCAAAGACCAGCTGGCCAGCGGGAGGTGTGTGCATACGCGGTGGAGCTGGGCTGGGGTGATGGCTGGTGTACCTGCAGAGAGGGTACTGTGTGCCACCTGTGGCATCCATGCCATAGGTTCGTCATCACGGCTGTAGGCAATCTGTTTATAGATGGCAAGTGTAACCAGATTTTTTAACCATTGATTGAATGGGGCCATACATTTATCTTTCCAATGTTACCTGTAAATTATAAAAAAAAATACTGGCCAAGAAGAGGCCTCTCAATCTCCAGCTCTCCCAGAACCTATAGGGGATCCATCTCAACCTGTTTCTCTCTCCCTCTACATGCTGCAATTCCCACCCCCAGCTGGTGCCTACATCCAGAGCACAGCTACCAGGAGGATAGTGCCTTGCTCTGGAAGAGGTGGGCTGACGCAGCACTTGATGCTCTAGGAAAGGGGTGTCAAACTGGATTTCTTCAAGGGCCGGATCAGCACTGTAGTTCTCCGTGGGCCAGCCAGGGTGGGGAGGAAGAAAGATAGGATGGATGCCTTCTGCGGCATGCTGCCAGCCAAAATGAGGTGCAGGGGACACATGTGCCCCCCCGTGCCCCATTTTGGCTGCCAGAGGCACCGCAGGCTGGTCCTTTGCTATTTCCATATTTAAGCATCCTGTGGGCTGGATGTGGCCCGCGGGCCGTGAGTTTGACAATCCTGCTCTAGGAAAAGCATCACGGCAACTCAAGCTTGCTGGTGGCGTGAACAGATACTCCCTCTGCACATCTGTGAGTTGCAGGGTGGACAGTGGCCATACAGTGCTGATGCGCATCGACGGTTTAAGGAACACCTGCAGGTCTTTGAATTGCAGCTACTGAACGACATTGAATGACTTGAATCAGCCCAAACTTATCTTTCTTTGTGTGGTGGTGTTGTGCTGGTGTTGCAAATTTGGCTTGTCATATTTCCCATCTCCAAGGTATGTTGTAGCAAAACTTGGGGCTCTACAAACTGAGAAGCCATTTCCTCTTCACCATTCATGTTTATATCTGTAAATGAATATTTCTTTTTTATAAGTGAATGTCCCAGCTCAAAATATAAGTACCAAGATACACAATAACTACAAAATAAATCCATAACAAACATGATAAAAATCAGAAAAAATGGGGAAAAAATAGACATATGGTTGATATGGGAAGCAGCAATGTTCTGAGTTCGGTAGAACATGGCTGCCAAGAACAACAGATATGGAATAATGATAGAATTACAACTATTCTTAATATAAAATAATTGCTTTTATGTCTGATATAGTTTTTTAGGAAGCATGATCTTGGCTTATAGCTGCACTGGAAATAATGAAATCCACACTGCTCTGATGCAATATTTTGCAATCTTAACAACTTTCCAATATGTGGACTTCGATTTCTACAAATCCTCAGCCACCATGCTGAGAGCTAAAGTACACACAGCTTAAATTGACATGGTTGAGAAACAGTGTTCTTAGTGCCTGATAAACTAATACATTTTAGCAAGTCTACATATGCGAGAAGGTGGCACAGTGGCTCAACAGATAAGATGCTGGGTTTGTCAGCTGGAAAGATGACAGCCCAGGTTTGAGACCTGAGTGCCAGATGATAGCAATAGCAATAGCATTTAGATTTATATACCTCTTTAGACAGGGGTGGATTTCACTTACCTTTGCTACTGGTTCGCTCGCTCATGTGCCACTTCTGCGCATGCACAGATAATATTTGATGACATCTGGGCAGGTAGGCGGAGCCTCCTGTTGGCGCTGCTACCAGTTTGCCAGAACTGGGTGAATTGGTAGCAACCCATCATTGCCTTTACAGTGCTTTATAGCCCTCTCTAAGCAGTTTAGAGTCAGCATATTGCCCCCAACAATCTGGGTCCTCATTTTACCGACCTCAGAAGGATGGAAGGCTGAGTCAACCTTGAGCCTGGTGAGATTCGATCTACCAAATTGCAAGCAGCTGGCAGTCAGCAGAAGTAGCCTGCAGTACTGCACTCTAACCACTGCGCCACCATGGTGGTGAGCTCCCATTCTCACCCAACTCCTGCCAACCTAGGAGTTCGAAAGCATGCAAATGCAGTAGATAAATAGTTATCACTTCAGTGGGAAGGTAACAGTGCTCTGTCATGTCACACTGGTGACATGACCACAGAAATGTCTTCGGACAGCACTGGCTCAATAGCCGTGAAATGGAGGTGTGCATCACCCCCTATAATCAGCATTGACTAGTAGAGTAAAATCTCCAGGGGAATTTTTTACAATGATGCATATGTTGTCCCAATCATAAGATACTGGATAGTTCATAAAGCAAAAAAAGAAGAATCATAAAGCAATCTACCTCTTAATTTTTAAAAAAAGCAATAATATTTAAGAAATATTAATATTTCTTAATATTAATAAGAATTAATAATAATATTAATAATTAAAGAAATTTAATATTTATTTCACTCAGCAGGGCTGTGATTTCTTTAAACCAAGATTAATATACAACAAAATCACAATAATTCCCCATTGCAAAGGTTGCTAGATCTTCATGGCATGAGCAAAAATACAGGTAACTTTTAAAGTGGTAGCAAGAATTTTGTGTTTTTGTAGTGTTGCATTAGTTATAGAGCTGAACTGAGGCTTCTTACTATACCCATTATTATTATTATTATTATTATTATTATTATTATTATTATTATTATTGAGATTTATATGCCGCCCTATCTCCAGCCAGACTCAGGGCAGCTCACAACAGTAAAAAACATCTAATGAAAAAGTTAAAAAGAAATTAAATCCATTATCTCATAAAAATTAAACCCCATCAGTCCAGGCTAGCCAAACGAAACAGCCACGTTTTCAGGTCGCGACGGAAAGAGCGGAGGTCAGGGGCCACCTGGACCTCCAGGGGCAGTTGATTTCAAAGGGTAGGTGCGCCCACAGAGAAAGCTCTCCCCCTGGGGGTCATATCATATTGTGATACCTAACAGATATCTCTAAGGTCAAGCAGCAGCAGAGAACAAATTCCCATGACTGACTGTCTGACAAAAATAACTTTTTGGGTCAATTGATCTTTCCCTAAGGAAAGTTCAGATTAAAAACTGATGTGGATTCATACAGTCCTGTTGTAGGCTTTGATGTTATATTGTGAAAAGACACTATTGGATACATTATCCCTGTCAATCAATTTTTTTTTATGATGTAAAATAGAAGGTAAATTACCAGGAGCCTTTCCATCTCTGTTCTGCTACTAAGTACTTAAAACTGGATCAAAGACTACTGTCCATGCAGATTTTCCATAGTATATAGCACATTAAGGTAATCTTCAATTTATAGCCACAGTACAGCCGTTTTTAAGCAGTGTAATCATTAAGTGGGTTACACCTGATTTTAAGTGAATTCAATTTCTCCCTTGATTTTTCTTGTCAACTCTTTGGGAAGGTTACAAATGGCAGTCATGTGACCCTGGAACACTGCAAAAATCATAAAAAAATGTGCCAGTTTTCAAGTACCTAAATTTTAATTGTGTGACTATAGAGACACTACGACAGTCGTGTGAAAACCAGTCATAAACTGCTTTTTCATCATGTCATAACCTTGAACAGGCATTAAAAGAATGGTCATAAGTTGAAGACATTATTTCCAGTGGCTCTGTAAAGTTCTATCCCTTTTGATGATATATAAACTAGATAATGTAACATTTTGACTGTCATTCATATTTTTGCCTGTTTGTCCCCTTTTGCCAGTTCTTGATGTTTGTTGACATTTAATAAACATCAAGCTATATTTCTGTTAGCTGAATTTAGGTGTGTGTGATTGCTCTGATAAGGATATAAAGATTAATTGGAAGTGTGATGGTTGCAAACTAAACTGTAAATTATCCATAGTAATTTTCCAATATGCACAACACACTTAAATGAGTTAAATGATTTCAATTTTCCAATAACCTGACTAACTGGAGGCTGATGAAGTGACCTGGTTTCATGTGTTATGGGAACAACACAAATGTTTGAATTAAAATTGTTTGAATTAAAATTGCTTTTAAAAATGGCAATTCTTGAGAATATTAAGTCTTTCAAAGGAATTGTGTAGGGTGAAGAGAGGGCGATGGGAGATTTTTTTAAAATGCAAGGATGAAAAAAAAAATGATACCGAGTGAAAAACAGACCACAAGAGGGTAGCAGAGCACAAGATATGGGCGCCTGGATTGGGCAATGTGATGGAGCTCCTTTCAGCAAAGTAAGAGGACTCAAAATATTAATTAATTTATCCGGGCGACTACATTTCCGGAACTTTTAAAGGGAAAGCTTTTTTAAAATACATCTGGTCTGTTTCTTTTTTTAACGAGCCCCAGTGCTTCAATTACATCTAGTACCAGTTTGTCAGCATTTCCCACAACTCGCTTAACCTGAAAGTTATGGGTAGAAACTCTCCGACCTTGGATAATGTCACAAGCTAGAACATTTCTTTCCCAAGAAAATGGTGAGGTTGTGTCGACGAAATCGTGCTGGATTTAAATATTTATTTTGCACAGGGAGTTGGAAAGGCTGAGTTCCAATACGTTTTTTTTTTTTTTTCCAGCCTCCTACTGTATCTTGAGTCTATCTTCTGGAGAATTGACTATTCCTGCCACCTTGGTATCATCTGCAAATTTCATGAGTTCCCCATCTATCCCCTCGTCTAAATATGGATGAAGATATTGAAGAGTCCTGGGCCTAAGACAGCCTTTTCAGTTGCAGAGGTCGGACGGATAGATTGACACCCATATGCACAGCTAGCTCTACTTTCACTTTCACCTTCCCTCTCCGCACTGGGCAGTGAGAAGCTGGGGCGCCCGATCGACGAGTTCCTTCTTGAGTCCCCCTTCATTTGCTCCGAATTCTCCAGGCAGACGGCAAACGGAGGACAGCGGTAAGCAAGGGAATGGGCGGGGAAGCGAGGGAGCTGCCTTTCTCTCCCTTCCTGGATCCGCATCGGTTCCACCTTACAGATATCTTAACTGTAGCAAACCCCTTGGGCAAGAGCGGTGCTCTCCTGCCACCTTCCATTCGCCGGCGCCTTCTAAAGACACTCCTCGGGGTGACGTCATGGCCACAGTTAGTGTGCAACAGGCCGGAAAAGTAGGGAGTCGAGGAGGAGTAGGAATGATTGAGAGAAAGAAACAGGGCTGGGTGGCCTTTTTCCTTTTCCTCTGCTCTTTCCTCTTAGAGATGGATAAAGGCTGACCGACATGGATCCTCAGAGGTTCTAAGGCCCCAGTTTCTACAGTACAGCTATATTGATCATATATCTCTCATGCTATTCTGAAGGATTTTATGATGTTTTCTTCAATTAGTTTAGATGTTTTCATTGACTTAGTTTATGGCTTCTTCAGGTTGGACCTCAATATGAAAAATGGTCCAAAAAAAGTTACTTTAATCTGTTTTGCATTCTAAAAAACAGGCCTCGAATAATGAAGGTTTGGCATCCGGTCACAGGAAAAGCTATTTTCTTATGGAGTAGAGAAAAAAGAAATAAAAGCCCATGTTTCATGTTTTCCATTGTGTTAACAGTGTGAATGACAGATGTTGTGTTATTCTTCAGCTAAAAGTTCACATCCGCTTCCATTCATTTGTGTCCAGTTCTGAAACATTGCCTGGAAAAATTCATGTAAGATTTTTGGGGAAGGTTTTTCAGAAGTGGTTTGCCATTGCTTCCTTCCTAGGGCTGAGATAAAGTGACTGGCCAAGGTTACCCAGATAGCTTTGTGTTCATGGGAGGGCTAGAATTCACAGCTTCCCGGTTTCTAGCCTCAATCCTTAATGCACCAAACTGGCTCTCAAAAGAGATCTTAGACATTTATAAAATCAGTTATCATCCTTCCCCATAGAAATAAATTATGAAGGCGATAAATATATATTGAGAAGCAGTGAATTACAAGAGAAAATGGTCTTTCTGGCTAAGAAAGAGAAAGATGTTTTCTGCGGTTGCTTTTTCTTTGCTCAGAGGATGCTTTTCTTGTCTAATTGTTCTTGCTGCGAAACAACATCTTCATGACCATATTCTACCCTGGCTAAGGAGGGTGTTTTTGCAACATCCATTGTACCTGTATATTCTTTATCATTTGAAAATAACACTGGTGCATTTTTGAATACTTAAAGTCACCTTAATAAATGAATGAACAACTTTGACTACAGGAACTTTTAGCCTTTAATCTAATTTTATAGAGTCTTTCTATTGCAGCCTTTACATTTTCTTTCTTCCAGGTACATCTGACTGAGGGGCACAATGTCACACACTAGCCGCTGCAAGCTGGTTGAATATTTTGAAGAATTGAGTGAAGACGAATTCGAGAAATTTAAGCTGCACCTCGAGGACTACCCAGTGGAAAAGGGCTACAGGCCTATCCGTCGTTGCAAGACTGAGAAAGCTACCCACATTGAAATAGCCCGATATATGATTGAGGCATATGACGATGCCAAGGCTCTGAAGATGACTGTCAGCATTCTGGACAGAATAAATAAAAAGGATCTGGCTGCAAGAATCCGAAAGGAGATGCCAGAATGTATGTAAACAAAGCCCAATTGTGTACTGGTAGCTCAAGGGTGATACTAATTCCTTTCCTGGCTTCTGTTCCTCTTTATACCTTAGCTTTCTAATAATATTTCTTCCTGAGTGATTTGTAGACATCTATCAATCTCTGCTATAGAGTCAGATCTGTCCCTTATTCTAAAGCTAACAAGGATTTCTAGTGACAGTCTCTTTTAAAGTCCTTACCCAGGAGGTTTCAAAGTATAGGAAATAGATAAACAAATAGGGATAAAGATGTAAAATTAGGATTTATCTTTTCTACATAGGAATAAAAGAGCGCCATATTTTCAGATGACTCAGACAAGAGTAAAGGTCTGGAAGAGAGAAAAAATCCTAGGAAAAACAAGAAACTGCAGGAATGGAAGACTGGAGAAAATGAGCACTTTTGGGGGAAAATGCAAATAATTGAGAAAACATTTTGGAAAAATAAGTTTCCCCTGTTTTTTTCAAGCAAATTATCTTGATTGTGGTTTTTTTAAACTGAATTTTACATCACAGTAAATTGGATATACATTAGACTCTTGCTTACTCTTGTCCATGTTCTGAATGGCCCAATTTCTACTGAAAACAGCTGCCTGGGGTTTAGCAAACATCAGAAACTGTCCAAGTAGCAGCTTTCTTTGTAAAATGGCCAGGCTGGTGAACCTTGCAGGTTCCTGCTTCCTATGTAGTGTGGTAGAGTTAGTATAGTTCTGCTGTGTGGAAAATTGCTCAGCAATGCAGCCCAATTTGCTGTCCTTCTATTGTGTTGTCTGGGAATGATGAACTGTGATCCAATATATCTGAAGGGCAACCAGTTGGGAAAAAATATGTCACTCCATATTTTAGCTAAATATGATTCAGTTCTCGCTGAAAAACAATCTGATCTTAATTGAATCAATTTAATGTTTTTGCTCCTGTTGAAGGATATCTTTTTCATCCACGTGATTACGACCAAATGAAAAAAGGAACAGCCAGTTAGCTCATTCATGATTCATTTTGTTTTTGTTTTTTAATTTTAATAAGAACTGACTTTTATTTCCAACAGATTTTCTTCAATCTCCAGAATCAGACAATGAGACATTTTCTGAACCTCAAAATAAAGGTTAGTTCAGTGGTAAAATTCAAATTTTTAAACTACTGGTTCTATGGGCATGGCTTGGTGGGCGTGGTGTGGTGTGGCTTGGTAGGCATGGCAGGGGAAGGATACTGCAAAATCTCCATTCCCACCACACTCTGGGGCCAGCCAGAGGTGGTATTTGCCGGTTTTCCGAACTGCTCAAAATTTCTGCTACTGGTTCTCCAGAACCTGTCAGAACCTGCTGGATTTCACCCCTGGGTTAGTTGTCCACAGATGCATTAAGTGTTTTCCAAAAACAAGACTTGAATCAAAAAGGAAAAAAAGACTGATTACCAGTCTGCAGGTGCCTTGCTACAGAATCAGATCTCAAGATGTCAAAACAAAAAGCATTTTGTTCCAACTCTTTTCTAAATGAAGTCGCCGGGGAGAAAGGGCAAAAGTGGATACCAGGAGTGGAGTCCTTTCAGAAAGAGCTCCAAACATTGGCAGTGTTTTAGGACATGGGCTAGCCTTGATGCACAAATAAAAGTCATAGATCCCATAATATACTCCTGAATGATTCCCCCTAGTGCCAAATTAATTCAAAAAAGGAAATTGAAATTTGTCAATATCCCCAATCATCACAACCATTCTGTATTTTTGCATAACATTTCATGAGATTTTCAGTATTTTTATCTTGCTTTAGCTTGGTGAGCACATCACCAAACAAAACTATTTAATAGCAACTTTTTCTTAAAAAGATCCATGGTCAAAAGGATTTGTTTTAAAGATGTTGTTTTTCATGCCATGTGTTATGTATTGAATGTATACTGTATAGTTGTGTTAAGCCCTGCTAAAGTGAAACTAACCTTTAGATGACCCTAACTGTTAACTTCAACTGTTTTGGAGGGAAACTTAGAACATTCATATTTGGGTGGGCTTTTTCAAGTAGTATGATTGGTTGAGGCACTCTGGGCCTAGAGTATAAATTACAGGAATTTGCCTGTTGTTCAGTAGTTACAGTTGAGTCAATAAATGCTGTTGTATCTATGCTGTCTTTTCTTGACTACTGCAGCCCACAACATAATACCATGTCCTTGTGTATTCAGTTTCTTGATAATGCTGTAATCTTTCTTTAGAAGGAATGCCCCAATCCTACGGAATTTGTTATAATGAAATCACATTTAACTTTAGTGGCTGCATGTATACAGTTTTATTGGTGGCATATGGAACAGCATGCAATTGCTTTTTTTCAAATTATTGTGCATCCCTGGCCCTCCCAGTTGGCTCCCCTGTCCAAGTGATAGTAAAAAATAAGTTTAGAGCTTATGGAACACTTCAACAGTTGTCATAATTCTTTTGCCTTTAACCTGAATTAATACTTTTTTTCCTAATTCTGTAAGCCATCAATTGAGTCGTTATCACTTCAACCTTTTCTCCATCTTTTCTCTTTAGTGGAGGTGATGCTGGATCCCAAGACAGCTTTTCCCACCCTGATCCTTTCAGAAGATCGGAAAAGCGTATGCATGGGTGAAAGAGCCCAGGACTTTCCTGACAATCTTGAACGCTTTAATTTTTTCCCTTGCGTCCTGGGAACAGAAGGCATCAATTCTGGGACTTCACAGTGGGTGGTTGAAGTGGGCAGGGCCAAACAATGGGCCATTGGTGCTGTGCGTGAATCCATAGAAAGAAAAGGATATTTACATATAAGTGAAACTGAAGGGTTTTGGGTATTGCAACTGATGGATGGAGAATATGAGGTCACCACCACACCTAAAACCATTCTTCCACTGTGGAAGACAGTACAACGGATTCTCGTTACCTTAGAATTCAGTGTAGGCAAATTATCCTTTTATGATGTGGATACTATGGAGATTATCTATACTTTCAATTATTCAGTTTCTGAGAAAATGTTCCCCTTCTTCCTGACTTGGGACAAAAAGAATCCATTAAAAATCAGTACAGATTACTCTATCAGATAATCTGAGGAAGAACAAGAAGAAACAGTTCTGAGAAATGACCCAAGCTGAGGAATTTTCAGTTCAGACCTTGAACAGAACTAAAAAAAAAAAAAAGACTTTAAAAAGTAAGGAATGGGTTCCTGGCCTACAGATAAGATACGGATCAACATGGGGAGGAATAAAATTAGAAGTTCTGGGCTGTTCTAGTAGGTCTGGAAAAAAGAAAAGAAAAGGAATCCCCTCCAAACTTTCAATGAAGAACATTTCTTTTATTTGTATATATATTAATTATGCATAGATACTTTGAAAACAGTGTATTTTCTGGGTCCATTACAGAGTAATGACAATTATTCTGATAATAATAGAAATAATGAAAATAATAATAATGATGATGATGATGACGATGTTAACTTATTTATTTTTGTTGTAGCTTTCTGGTATTATAACTATAGTTAACAAGAATATTTCTGGCTTTAGATCTATATGTTGCTTAATTATCTTTTCTAACCATGTGTGTATTTTCATCCAGAATTTTTTTACCTTCACAAATGTCCACCACATATATTAATAAGTACCTTGAGTCTGATTACGTTTCCAACATCTTTGCTACCCTTGCCGGTGGCCATTGTCAATTTATAGTTCCTAACCCAAAGTTTTTGCCATTTGTCTAGTGCTATAGTATAACCAGTTTTTTGCCCATACTATCATTGTTTCACTTGTTTATCTTCCATTTTAATACTTAATAAATAACTATACAGTTTATTAGTTTTCCATCAGTCCCTAATAGTATCTGATTGAGTATTGTTGATTCTTTATAGAAACTCCATGTCTTAGCATCTTTCTTATATCTAGATTGTATTTGCATGTGTGGCCACCATGCTAGATCCACCCCTTGGTTTTGCAATTCCTTCCTGGTTTTAAGTTCTCCTTCCTCATTTAAGATGTCTTTAGGGTACTCTGAAGTATATAAAGATTGGGAACATCCAAGCCGTTCAACTTTGCGGCATCCTTAGTGGTTTGGTAGGAATGGAAGTCATCAGGAAGTAATGATATAGTTGGAAATAGGGTGGTTTGCCAAATGAATTTCTAAACAAGCTTTTTTTTCTTTTCCAAGTGCCCTATTATGCCCATAAAATCTTTCTGGCAAAGAACCTACAACTCTAAAAGGATCTCCTTCAAGCAACTCATTCAATGCACTTAATCCACGAATGCTCCTCCAAATAAGCCCTGTTTCTCACAATTTTGGTCTCAAGATATTTCTTGAGAATAATTAGACATGGATAGTTATTCCTAGAATATTGTTCTTCTAGTCTGTATCCATTTACCAAATCTGTATTTAGCTTTTTTTTCCAGGTTGGTCCTTGGACCATCATCATGCCTTGTCCCAGTGGTTCCTCAATGTTTCTCTTTCGTTATACTAGTTAAGCTATCTGTAATAAAGACTACGGAATAATAAGTCATTTATCTAGAAGAATTTAATTCAGGTTGCTAGTGCAATTCAGTTGATGGACCAAAATTCAATTATAGAGATCACTAGTTTACTTTGGCTTAGTCAGATAACATCCCAAACTGCCTTGCCTGGTTACTCCATCTCTTGAATGGGGTAACCATGTTTTGAGGTTAGAAACAGACACATCTGCCTTTACTGACCTCCTGTTGCAAATTTGATTTTCCTGTGCATTTTCCTGCTGCAATGTGAAAATACATAGACTTTTCCTCTTAGGTTGCCTCAAATGCCCTGATCTGTTTGGGTTATAGCACTTTACTTTCTGATAAGGTAACTCTGAGCTATATCAGCTATTTCCCAGGAAAAGGAATGCAGCTTCAACTATGTCAGTACTGATGATTGATTCCAATACCTTTTAGATCTCAATAACTCTGAAATACGAGACAAGGAATAGAATGAAGGCACTAAGTCAAAGATTGCCAATTCAAAATCTGCCAGAAATATGTTTAACTACTACTATTATTAATCATTATATTATTTTATTAAATTAATCCTACATCTTCCTTTGCTTGCTTGCTTATTTAGTTGATTTAGAGTAATTCTGCCACTTAACCTTAGAGAAAAAATAACTCCCAATTAAAAAAAAACCCAACTCCATTAAGCCAATGAGCTAACTCAAAGCTCATAAATGCTGTACAGGTAGTCCTCATTTCTGACTACAATTGAGAGCAGAATTTCCAGAATTGCTAAGCAAGGTGATCGTTCAGTGAGTCATGCCCAATTTTATGACCTTTTTTGGCCACAATTGTTAAATGAATTGTTGCAGTTCTTAAGTGAGTCTGGCTTTCCCTGTTGACTGCAAGTAAAGGCAGTGGGAAAGATTGCAAATCCCATGACTCCAAGTACTGCAACTATTGTAAATAACATGTCCTGCCACTGCCCAGTGCACGAATCTGGATTGTGTAATCATGGGAATCCTAGGATAGTTGCAAATACAAGGACTGGTTGTAAGACATTTCCTTCAGTGCCAGTAACTTTGAATAGGCACCAAACGGATGGTTTTAAATCAAGGACTACCTATAATAGGCAAAAGGCTTTAGGCAGAATCAGAAGACTTATCTAAAAGTGAAAATATTATCTATAATTCAAATGAAGATTACAGAAAGGAAAAGCAAAGGCCATTTACAAAAGTGGGAATTGTTCAGATTTCTATATGTGAAAAGATATTTTTGTTCTTTAAATTAAACACGTTTCTTGGTGAGATCATCACTACGAAATAACTCAAATGCACATGTCGTTAGATTTAATACAACTCTGCATCCACGAACAGGACTTGTTGAAGAATACCTAAAAAAAAAAACTGTTATAATAACAAATTGAGGTTTCTGTTAAACTTGGAAAATTAAGATAGTCAAAACGTTCTTTGGAGTAACTATAGTTTTACCTATCCGAATTTTAGCCAGTCTTACAGTAACTTGCAAAAATAGCAGCAATTCTTGAATTTGGAACCCCTTCAGGCCAAAGGCCCTTTCTCTGCTTTACTTTTTATAGCTCTTAAAAACTGATTTGTTCTTAGACTTTTATGTGGTATGATTATTTAACACAGATTCAGTTTAATTGGGTGCAATATATAAATTTAGTAAACATATCTCAGGAAAGAGTCTTGGAGAAATTCAGGTTTGGACAAGAATTATCTATCACTTATTTTGCAAAGGTTTATTTCCATAAATAAGGTTAGCCATATTTATTGTGGCAGACAATAGAATCTTACATTCCGATTTCTGTCAGATATAATATTCTTGCTGGGATGCCTGACAGTGAACAACAGAGGCAATGATTAAAAAATAGGGGGGAAAAAAGAAGGCCAGATATATGTAACTGGTGCTATAAAGTTTTTTTAAAATCAATCATTACCATTGGAAGCAGATGTGTACAATCAACATCATATACTGTAAATGCGTAACATATAAACCTATCTGCAAATTATTAACCAAAAAACAATGAAAAATGCTGATCTGCAGTTTGCATGGTATTTTACTTAAATATTTGAGACTCTGCTTATCCACATATGTGTTTATCTGCAAGTATATACAGGAAGTATGAGTACTTAAAAATATTACTATATACACTATATCCATGGATAAGCCAATCCATGGATAGGCCCACCCCAATTTGCGAATTGCACATAAAATTCTCAGTTTATACACAAGTATATACAATATTTTAAAAGTGCACACACATTAAAATTAAAGATTATAATAGTAGCTATCTTTCTTTAATCAAAATCTGCAAATGACAAAAACTAACTTATAGAAATTACATAAAAACTGCATTAAAAAATCAAAGACATTTGTATTTTAAAAGGCACTGGGCTATTCACATTAATGTTATATAAATTAAGGGGGAAATCTGTACAGATCTACAGAGAACAAAAGTTGCGAATATAAATGATACATTTTTCTATAGCATTGAAAGAAAATCCCGATTTAGCGTCTTGGTAGTCTAGAATAGAATAGAATAGAATAGAATAGAATAGAATAGAATAGAATAGAATAGAATTATTTATTGGCCAAGTGTGATTGGACACACAAGGAATTTGTCTTAGTGCATACGCTCTCGGAGTACATAAAAGATACATAAATAGTCGCTTTCCAGCATGAGCTACATAATCTATTTTTAGTGACCCAAAGATTCTCAACTATAGCTGAATTCTTTTTTAAAAATTAGTGTCTGTCATCAGATTCACACCAACTTTGTCATCTTAATCAACTTTAAAATACCACAAAGAGAAATTTATCCTTTCCATCTATAGGCTACTTGTTTTGATTCAATTACCTTGTTTTTCATTTAGGAGCACGTGTAATACTTGGTCTTAGCACAATATTTTAAAATAATTTATAAAACATGACATTTTCAATATTTTTCCTACTTGCTACAGCAACTTGTTCCTTTCAATTTGCAGGTACATCGAAGGCAGTTCTCTGACTCCCATTTAGTTCCTAGCAAATGCTTCGTTTTATCAAATTGGTCAATGCATATCATCCCTAGGGTAGAAAATTCCAGTCAGTCTCATCATCACTGACCAGAAAATCAGTATTTATACAGCTTTATCTTTGCATATTGTAAGCCATCCAAAGTTACCTTTGGGCAACCAATAAATTGGATAAATAAATAAAATAAATATACAGTATATGCATGTTGATAATTGCTTCCAGAAACCTGCAAACTATACAGCTTTTCTCATAACAGTTCTTCTCATTTCTGAACTACTTTTTAACATTAGTATTTCTCCATTCTAAATGTAACAGTTCCTCTAATTAAAAATTGGTTGTTAAAAAAAATAAAGTTATTAATTATTACCATTGTGCAATTTAGTTACTTAGTTAGTTAAAACATTGACATTACTACCTATCTTATAACTAATTGTGAGCAGCTTCCAATCAAAACTTAAAACAGGACAGAAACCATAGTAAAATTACAATTTATTTTATTCAATAAAATAAGACATGGAAGCAGAATAGTATAAAAATCTTATCAAAGTGCACTTAAACTACAGCTGAATCACTGAAATTGACCACAAATTTCCAGGCAAAGAAAGCAGTGGACAAGGAGATATTCTCAAAGAACTGTTTAAGGGGAACCAGCATCCACCAATCTTTCTTCTTAAAGTGGGCTGGAGTTGAGGCAAGTGTTAACACAGTTAAATTAGAATGTTTCGCCATCTCGGAAAACTTTCTGTTTCTGCACAAAATGCATTCAAAAGGATATTATTGATACTAGCTGGTGGGATTTTCTGCCTTTCAGCTCTAGGGATCCCACTTTAACATGTCTTCAGACAGTGCTGGCTCTTAGACTTTAAAACAGAGATGAGCACTGCCCCTTAGAGTCAGGAACGACTAGCACATATGTGCGAGGGGAACCTTTACCTTTATCTTATAAAATGGGCCACACAACATATATGGTGTGCCATATCGTGTACACTAAGTAAACACGGGGAGAAAGGGAACTCAGACACAAAACAGGTTATATAGAAAACATACACAGAGTCAGTCAGAAAGGGCTCAAATGCCTTTAGACTAACACACAAAATAGGAGGAATAAACAGGATGAACTAGAAATCAAAGTACATGAAGGCAGATATGATATTATTGCCAATACTGACACTTGATGGAATGAACTGATAAAGACCACTTGCAGGAATTGGGGGAATGAAAAGAAGGACTAGGATGACATGACAGAGGTGTTTCAAGAATGTGATTTACTCACCAATCAGTGCTCAGAGCACAGGAGAAAGAGGACATCCATTTACCTTCTTGGAATGTCGAAAGAGAAAATCCAGTGATTTTATTTTACAGGCCAGCATTTTTTATTGCAAGTTGCTTGGGATTGTTAGCTGTAAATGATAATAAGGTTCTTTAGCCTGGTATTCTCCTGGCCAAAATGCCAACCAAGTCAGAAAGGTAGATTAATATCTTTTACTTACGTATAGATAAAGGACAGGTCTGCCACAGATACAAGTTGGAAATACCCTTAGAGAAGGGAAAAATCACTTTATATACAGCTCAAACATTTTTGGGTTTGGAATTTCTGCTCTGATTGGCTAGCATAATTTGAGTCATAATGCATCTAGAAAGGATGTTCAGTAGTTTATTTGTTCCATGTAAGTATTCATGCTATTGCATAATATTCTTAATATAATCTTGTTACTGAATAATTGAATATTCAAGGGTGGGTTTTTTTACCATTCTAATGAGTTCTTTGAGTTATTAGAGTTCATTTTTACAGGCCCATTCTGAACCACCTCTTATCAGAACTTCATCTTCCACATGAGGACTCTGCTTCTTATTAAAAGACATTAGAGACATTAATCAAAGGTACTTCTTTTTACTGAAAACAGATACCCAAAGAGGCCCTTTTCTTGCTCCCATCAGTCAGAATAGAATAGAATAGAATAGAATAGAATAGAATAGAATAGAATAGAATAGAATAGAATAGAATAGAATAGAATAGAATAGAATAGATACAGAGAGAGGGGGAGAGAGGGAGGGAGAGACACAGATACAGAATGGGGAGAGGGAGCGGGGAGAGAGACAGAGAGAGGGGAGAGAGAGGGGAGAGAGAGGGAGAGGAAGAGAGACAGAGACAGAGATACAGAGAGTGGGGAGAGAGAGAGAAGATAGGGAGAGGGGGAAAGAGAGTTACAGAGAGAAATACAGGGAGTGAGGGAGAGACAGAGACATAGATACAGAGATAGTATCTTTTTTCCCCTTTTATATTGTCCCATATACATTCTGGAGGGGTTTTATCTGCATTTCTGTAGATATGTAGTGCTCTCTTATTTATTTATTTATTTGTTCAACTTGTATGCCATCTTTCTCCGAAGACTCAAGACTCTGGATGGGGAGGAACAGGCTCAAGCTCAACCCTTCCAAGACTGAGTGGCTGTGGCTCCCGGCATCCCGATATAGTCAGTTGACTCCATCACTGACTATTGGGGGCGAGTCATTGGCCCCCACAGAGAGGGCTCGCAATCTGGGAGTCCTCCTGGATATGCAGCTGTCCT